GGTATTCCCAGGAGGTATTAGAACCAATGTCCCACAGATTCTCAGGGACAACTCTGTGTGTGTGTGTGTGTATGTGTGTATGCAAAAGTAAATACAAAAGTAAATATGGTTGTGTATGTATGCTGGTGAGAAGGACTAGAAACAATAACATCTCTGTAACAGATGGATCATATCTATGACCCAAATCTCACTTTCTAAATATCCAAAAATAGAAATCAGAGCTTGCTGGAGTAGTTGATTTGAAGGCTACGATAGAAAAATAAAAAGAAAGATATGCCTCAAAAATGTTTTGTTCTTATTGTTATTGTTTTTGGAGATAGAGTCTCACTCTGTCACCCAGGCTAGACTGCAGTGGATCAGTTATAGCTCACTGCAACCTCAAATTCCTGTGCTCAAGCAATCCTCCTGCCTTAGCCTCCCAGATAGCTGGAACTACAGGCACATACCACCACACTTGGCTAATTTTTAAAAAATTTTATAGAGACAGGTTCTTGCCATTGTTGCCCAGGCTGGCCTTGAACTTTCAGCCTCAAGAAATCCTCTTGCCTCAGTCTCCCAAAGTGCTAGGATTACAAGTGTGAGCCACTATGTTCTGCCATATTTTCATTTTTGATTGACAAAAAATAATTGTATATATTTATAGGATACAATATGTTTTGACATATGTATACATTGTGGAATGAACATATTAGGCTAATTAACATATCCATTCCCTCACATACTTATCATTTCTTTGTGATAAGAACATTTAAAATCCATTCTTTTAAATTATAAGCATATTTTAGGGTATTATATTTTTCAAAATATTAACTATAATCACTTTACTGTGCAATAGAATCACCAGAAATTGTTCCTCCTTTCTAACTGATACTTCATACCATTAGACCAATATTTCTTTTTTACTCACCCACCCATATCCCCACCCACTGCCCATATACCTACCCATGCCCCTCACCTCTTAGCCTCTGGTAGCCATTTTCTACTGTCCACTTCTGTGAGTTTGAATTTTTTAATTCCACATATAAGTGAGATATTTATGTAATATTCATACAATATTAGTCTTTCTGTGGCTAATTCATTTCACTTATCATAAGGTTCTCTATATTCATCCAGGGTCTTCCAAATGACTAAATTTCACCCTTTTTGAAGCTTGAATATTATTCCACTGTGTATATATACCACATTTTTTAATCCATTCATCTGTCCCTGGACACTTAAGTTATTTCCATATCTTGGCTATTGTGAATAATGCTCCAATGAAAATGGTAGTGGAGACAGCTCTTTGACATACTGATTTCAATACCTTTAGATATAAATATCCAAAAATGGTATTGTTGGATACCATATGTTTATTCTATTTTTTAGTTTTTAGAGGATCCCTCATACTGTCTTCCAAAATGGCTGTACCAATTTACCTTCCACCAGCAGCATACAAGTGTTTCCTTTTCTCCACATCCTCACCTACACTTATCTTTCATCTTTTTGATAACAGCCATTCTATAAGGTATGAAATGATATCTCATTGTGCTTTAAATTTGTGATGATAGCTTGCTACAGTCTCAAAATCCTAGGCTCAAGAGATCCTCTTGCCTCAGCCTCCTACCATGCTCAGCCAGTTTTTTAATTTTTTGTAGTGAAGTGGTCTTGAAATCTTGGCCTCAGGTGGTCCTCATGCCTCAGCATCTGGAAGTGCTAGGATTTCAAGTGTAGAATCGTGGTCTGGAAAATGTTTTTATGCCGGAATGTAAAAAGGGTTGGAATCAAGGAAGGAAGGAACGAAGGCTGATTTACACGGGAATGAAGCTGAAAGAGCTCCCATTGACCAAAGCTGAAACGATTGGAACAAAAAAATAACTATAGTATTGAATTCAAACCTAAAGAATAAAGACTGATCTCATACTGACATAAATAATTAATTGAATAGATACATAAAAAGAGAAGAGACAGCTCTCCATTAGAGAGTAATAGCAATCCATAACTGAATACCACATACTGGTAACACGGATCTCCTGACTTGGTTCATTGAGAAGGGCATATCAGTCTTATCACATTCTTTAAGAAAATTCACAACCTCAATTGACCTATACAGAAACACATATCAAGGGACACATTACAAAGTGATTGATCAGTACTCTTCAAAGTGTCACCGTCATGAAAAATAAGGAAAGACTGAGGAACAGCTTGGGAGAGACTAAGGAGAGATGATAGTTTATATACATGTGAGGTCTCAGATTAGATCTAATAACATGTAAGTAATAATAGCAGAAAAACTGATGATATATCCAAGTGAGTCTGAGATTTAGTTCACTGTAATATGTAATATTAATTTCTTGATTTTGATAATTGAACTATGATTATGTATGATGTTAACATTAGAAACAGGATGAAGGCATTAAGAAAGCTATAGACTAAGATTATTTCATCATAAGAAGCTTTTAAAAGAGGAAGTACTTTTGAATCTCAGATTCTATATTTTCGTGGGTAAATCTAGTATCAGAGTTCATAGGTTTCTCAATATAAGTTAATGAATGGTTTAAGCAGTAATGCACAAATGATAATCACCCTATATTCCTTTATCCCTATTTTTTTTTCTAAAGTAGTGCTTCACGTGTATTCTGCAATGGACACATCAACCATATGCAAGAAATTGTAAGCATTTGGTTAGTTTAAATGCCCCCAAATTGGAAATCATAGATGGGTCACAGACCCTCACTGTCGCACTCTGCCTCACTCTCACTCTCTTCATTTCTCTGAGGATTCCTTACAATTTCATTTCTGGTGTTTATAACTACATTTCTAAGTCTCCTTTGTGAACACATCCAGTAAAGAAGTTTTAGCTCATGAATTGTGGGAATAATAGGAAATCCGAAGAAAGCATTACAAGAGCCATATAGCCATACTGAATCCCAGTGCATCTAAAGCTTAACAAACCAAGAAAGTATCATAGGAAACTCAAACAAATGTCTCAATTTTGTTCAGAAAACATAATAGGTTTGTTGGTTTGAGAGTTCTGGTGTAGTAACTCCCTAAAATACATCCTCCCATCCCATTGTCCAAGCGTTCAGACCTCTCACCTAAAGTACTATCATTGCTTCCTGCCTGCTCGATGTTTTATTCAGTCTGAACTCCCTCTAATCAGTTCACACACATTGCAGTTGGCATGGTTCCCAACCTTTTAAAAGTATCTTGTTGTTAAAATAAAAAACAAGATTGTCTAGCATACTCTATAAGCTTCTGCACAGTTCGAACTCAATTTTTCTCTCCATACCCCATCTCACACCATTCTCACTTTATGGCCTTTCAGTCACTTGAAACTTTCTTCCTCCCACCCAAGTCTTTGAACATATGTACCTGGAATGTTCTTCCCTTCATCTTATCACTTAATAATTTTTATACTTCAAGTTTAGTTCTCTTCTACAGGGAAAACTTTCTTAATCTCTTTTATAAGAACATGATGGGACTCAGAAAACTGTGCCTCAGAATGAGGACCTCAGAAGCAGCATCAGAAGCAAAAGTTCTTCTCTGACCTTCTCCTGTCCTCATGTCTCTCAGTCTCATTGTCCCCCCAGGCTGGCCATGAAAATTAGAATCCCTCTTCCCCAAGGCAGGCCATAAAATTCAGAACCCCTTTCTCTGAAAGCCAGCCATTGTAGAGATTATCCAGTGTTTCTACCAGTGTCACAGCCAACGAAGAATGCTCCAGACCACAATCTCAGGCTGAAGGAGGAGGAGAAACTCTTTTTGTTTCAAAGAGCTCTCCAACCTCTCCAAATCTCTGTATTTATTATAGGGAAAGGTATATGTGTTTAGAGTAAAGAAACATATAGATAAAATCTTTGGTGTCATATAGTAGGCATATTGTTCCAAATAAGCCTATTTAGTGATATACATTAAACTTATAATTATTTTGTTATTTCCTTGTTTTTCCTTAAGGTCATAAAGAAAAGGACGGGAACTCAACACCAGTCATGCTTCCATACATTCCAAAGCCTGCTGTATGCAGCTGGCTGATGACAGTCAAATCCCAAGTCCTGTTTGCAGGACTGTCAGATATCCACCTTTTTCACAGTCCCTTTACCCAGGTTTTTATGCCTTTTCTAATATCCTCTACAAGCCATAAACTTAAAATTATCTGTGTAAAAGCTAGCTATAAAGAAATTATCTGACCTATTTTTTGACCATAAGTCATAAGACCCCCATTCCAGAAAGGGCTCCATCCCACACCTGGAAAGAAGGAATGCAAGCTCAGAGAGGCCAGGAAGAATTTAGATAGGCCTTTCTGGGTTTCTCTACTCAGTCTGCTAAGTTTGGATTATACTGTTGAGTCAGCAGTCTGAAATTTCGGTTCCTGGTGTGCTCTTGGCCAAAGAATGACCAGAAACACTGAAAGCAAGGTAAGCACAAAACGAGGTTTATTGAAGAGAGAAGAACAGGATTACAGAGCAAGAGCTAGATACATTCTCCACAGACAACAAATGGACCTCTTTTTATTACGAAAAGGCCTTGATCATGGTCTGGGGTTATATAGTGTCTGGACTGGGTCTTCCTTGTAGTTCAGATGTCAACATGGAATCACTTTGTTGGACAGTTAGGTGTTATATGACCTGAGTCTTACTGCACATGCAGATCTCTCAAGAGCCTCTCTGAAAGCCCATTTGGTAAGGTGAACTGCAATGTAGATTTAAGCTAATGACATGATAATTAGCCGTAGGTTGTCCTAGGTCACTTTCCAGATCCCATTGCACCTGTGTTACTTGACCCATGCACTAGAGAATCCTCTGCAATCTTTTGCATTTGGCATACTAAGTTCTGATTGGCAGATTCATAGGATGTTCCCTTTTCTCCAGATGTAGCAATTGCTTGGGGCACCCAGCTTTGTCCTAAGGAGGGGCCAGAGATCCCTGGCTGTCTACCTAACACTACCCTTTTTGTCCAATCATATTTCTACATGGCTGTCCATACATTGTTGAACCTAAACATAAAAAAATGGACAATTTCCCGTCTCTTTGGGTCTTCATTCTGAAGGTGCCTGTGTATACCTGTTAAATAAATTTGAATGCTTTTTCTCCTATTAATCCATCTGCTTCATGTCAGTGACTTTTCAGGGCCTTGGTCCCTACAACCAAATCTATACGTAAGAAGTGCTAAGGAACACAGACCTTTATGTCAATAAAGTTAAAACTCTTTTATGTTTACATTTCTTTGCCTGATGATTTGAACAATGTCCATTTCTTTTAATAATCTCTGAGACCTATGAGTATGAGGACTTTGTTAGTTTTTTGCTCAGCCACTGGTACAGTGCCTGGCACATCATAAGTCATCAATTCATATGAGTTGAATGAATGATATCATTGAAGAGCAAGTACCCATTGTTCCTTCCATGCTTCTCTCCTTATGTGCATTTCCCATTCACACTGCATCAGAGAAAGTGGGATTAAGCGAATTTGTCAGCCTCTAGCATGATTTTTCACTATTGAGAACATGCTTGAAGCAACCCATCTCATAGGCAAGGAAATACCTACCCTACCAAATTCTGCCTTTGGCTAATAGGTCATTCCCTAGTACATTGTGTTGTAGACAGGGTAGCAGATTCCTTGTCACAGGCCACTCCACTTTATGTAAATTCTCTTCCTGTAAACACTTCTTTTAGGCAGAAGGGGAAGTATGGCAGACAGTTGGAAATTTCATGGCTTATCCATGATATCTGAAATATAAATTTTGGCCCTGACACCATAATTTGCCAGTTGTGAGACCTTAGCGGATCATGTCACTTCTCTGCAGTTTCATAGTCTCATTTCCTATAAGAAGTGGTCAGTCTACATATTCTTTAAGATCTTTTTCACTATGATATTCTGTGCCAGATGCTAATGAGCTGTAAGAAGTTGTCAGTAAGTTGTTTGTCCCTCAAAGCATCATAATTAGAGTGCTATGTCATTTGCTGTAAAGCACTTGGGGCTTTATAAAGAAGAAGTATTCTAGTAATGCAAAGTAGTTCTGTGGCTGTAAAAATTTTATTATTATTGTAAAAATGGAAGTGCTGGTTTATAGAGTATTGGTATATTTCCTAATGTTAAAACAAAACTGAATTTTGAAATAAAATTATTTCAATGATATAAAATTTTATTACTTGTTTACTTGTCATCTTTCATTTGCCCATGGTTACGACATTATTCTGTAACCACAAAGATAGAGCCTACTATATGTCAGGTACTATGACAGATACTAGGAATTTTAAAATGAATGAGACTTTCCCCCTGTACTCAAAGTTAAATCATAAGCTAATGAACACAAAAATATATGCTGATTCAGGTAAGCATACAGTAATACAAAGGCATGCAGGAGCAGAGAATAGCACAAACTCAGAAGCTTGTAAAGTTGAAGAAAGACTTTTAGCAAGAGGCAATATTGAGTTTAATCTTTAATAACTAGCCACATTCTGATCCACAGTTTTTCTGTTTTCCAGATCCACTTTTCTGTCTTCAAGCATTTTGGGAAAATTTACATATATATGGAAGAGTTTCCCATTCATTTGACAATAATTACTATGCAAAGAACTCTAGAGTGGTGGCACCCAAGAGTGCTCCCCTCACCCCATCCCTACTTCCTGTGTTTAAGGAAGGGATTGCTAATCAATCATGGCACGACTAACTGAACCAAGACACAGTCTCTAAGTACTTTTCAACATAACAATTTATCACCACTGATGATAATAGGTACAAAAGATCAAAGCAATTTTCTATTCTTGGTCAAGTTGAAGTTAAATGGCATATACTGGAGATGAAAATTTCCCTTTATATAGTATTTCCTCCAATGACTTCAATTTAATTAACCATCAAACAAATACTTCACATAAACCTCATAATAGTTTTGACACTCAGCTAAGCCCTAGATTTACCCCTAGAGATATAAATCTAGGGAGGGAGATAAGATAACCTTCATGGAATATTTAGAAAGAACTAAGTGCTACAATGTGTGGTAATAATTGCTAAATATATATCTAGAAGGGGTGATCAGTTGGGCTAAATACTGATCCAAAAAGGCATTGAGAAAATTGTGAAAGTTCAATCAGGCATGAAAGTGAGATAGGTTTGGAAAGGCATTCAAATCTGGGAAATGTACAAACGTGTTAAAAGAAAGCCATATTACCAAAATACAGAGCAACTGTAAGGCATCTATCCTTTCACTAGAAAAGTTGCAAAAACTGGTCTTCAGAAGATTTCCATGATTCCTACTCATGAATAACATTCCATAAGACATATTTGCAGAACCAAAATGGAATGAGGCTCATTGTTTGAGTTAGAGATGTACATCAAATATAAGATTGGTATCTTTTATGAAGAGTCTCTGATCAAGGCTGTACTGGATGTTTTCAAAAAACATAAAAATTTCCACTCTGGTGAAAAGAACATAAAGTTTATGCTATTTTCTAAAAAAAGTATGTTTGGAAAATTCTCAAGACCAAATTTATCAGATTGTTTATTATTAATAGAATTCATATAGTGATATTATAATACAGAATATGATGAAGCTTTTGTTTTTCTTTTCATTTACAGAAGAGTAAAGAAGAACAAAACTCCAATAATGAACAATAGATAAACCCAACAATTTGTTGAAAAAGTAAGTTTTCTTATTTAGTGCTTGCTGTTTCTTATCTGTGAACACACATTATTCTGAACCCTTAAAAGGCAGGTGGAGAATAAAAGGAAAGGAAAAAATACCTACTATGTGCCTGGCATCTTGTGTAACACTCTCAATGTATTATCTTGTTTAATTCTAAGGTTAAAGATATATTTTATAGTAAGTGAAACTGAAATTCTACTATATTCTTAGTTATGCAAAATTCACTCATATTTTTGCTATGTCTTAAGTGAGGTATTTATAAATTTAAATTTAGCACCTCACAAGGTTTGAACAGGATGAAACTCACAGGCAAAGCACCACCTCAGCAGTAGCAAAGGATAACTACTATTTTGGCTGCCAAACCCAGCTTATAGATTATACTTGGCAGAGAGATGCTGAAAAAAGAAGCCAGAAAAGGGGTCATAAGCAAGTAGCAGTTTAGAAGAAAGGAAAAGTTTCTTGATCGTGGACCAACAAACTTTGGAAGATTATATAATATGCCTGAAAAGTGGTAGTTTTGGCATTAACCACCCCGAACGTTCATGCTAGCTTTGCTATATACTAGTTGTTTTCATTGGGCAAGGTAATTAACCTCTCTAAATCTTAATGCTTTTATTCATAAAAGTTATAAGATAAAAAATAATTTTCAGCGGTCTCAGAGGGTTAGTGTGAGAATTAAAGGAGATAATTTTTATAAAGCTACTAGCATAGTGTTTCATATATAAGTAGCTCTTCACAAACATTAGTTATCCAGTCTTCACTTTACATGGTATAATGAAAGCTAAAGTAGTATAACAGAAATACCACTTTTTAAAGGTTGGATACTTGAGTTTTGTCCATGTTCAATCACTGATTTACTGTATATCAAGTTTCTTGCTACATAAAATAGGAATATGAATACTTCCCTTCTATATCTTAGGGGGTCATTATAAGGTCATTATAGGTCATTATAGGATTAAAAATTTAAAGCATCTAGCAGATAAGTGCTTTGAGAGTATATAGAGCTACACTGATATACAGGGCTATAATAATGTCAGATTTTATCATTTTTGTTTTATGATTTTGCCAGATTAATTTAAACAGATAGAAAACAAGTGTGATACACACTCTTTCTGTTTCTTAACCTCTAGGAACACTTACACAATTATATAGTTGGAATAGCTCATTCAATTTTGTGGCCAGGGCAAACTTTTCAAATAAAAAAACATAAATAAAGGAAATGATTTGCTTCAAAAGCATTGTAATTTTTTGGAATTTGTTAGTAATAATGACTAAAGGCCATGTCCCAAACAGATCACCAAGCTCTGATCCCATTCGATGATCAGCATGTGGTCCAGCATAGACATTATTAATCTGACACATTAATTGCCCTGTCTCCCTCCTGCACCCATGATGGACATAAGTAGTTGATTATAGTATTTTTGCAGCATGTGAATGTAGTCCTCAAGAGACTTTTTATGATGCACTACAGCCAACAACTATTTAGCAACTTCAATTTGCATAGAAATTGTAATTTTGCTTTCTAGACCATGGCTAGCGATTTTGGAGGTCTTGATAGAATCTTAAACACGGGGTTTTAGGAGAGTGCCTCAAATGAAAAATGTAAATGAATCAATTAGCACTCTCCCACTTCTCTACTCAATATTTCTGAGCCAACTACATAACCTGTATCACCACCTTTCAGAAGAATGTGTAGGGAGAAATATCTGATTATTAATGTGAAAAAATTTTTGCCTAAATGATGTTGTTCCTAAAGAGGGCACAAATAAATTATACTAGGTGTCATTAGACATGAAACTGACAATGAAATATTGTAAAAGTCTCACATCATCAGTATTCCCTTCTTTCAAACATGAAATCTCAGAAATGTCCTTGTCATTTCAGTTCAGCTTAAAATACTTTTACAAGGTGTTATCTGTTTCTGAATATTACCCTTCCAGCTCCTTAGTGGTGTACAGAAAGCTCAATGTGCCTTGAAATACTCTTTGTAGAGTCAACATTTTGGTGAAAAGGGAAAACATTGGGCACGCATGCCATACATCTTTACTGAATACAATTACCTCTGAAAGAAACAATATCAAATAAAGTCATATATAAGCATGGATGAGGGGCATATACAGTCCTTATGAAAATGGTGAGCAGGAGAGCTGTGTCTAGACAGGAAGTAGCAAAAGAAACTTTGGGATTAAAATATAAAAATGACATAGAGTATGATATATATCATGAATGGATGAAAGTACCATATCACCCAGTTGGATATTTTGTCCACGTCTTGCATTGCCCAAATTTACAAATTTTCCCTCAATTTTTTTTCAAAAAGGTAATTAGTTATAAAGCTTAATAATTATATCACAAATTTTAACCAGGGCTAGAGAAATTACACAAAGGTCATTCACATCCACCATAGATTAGTTTTATATGGCATTTGGAAAAAATTGGTACCATATGTAATCTGGTTTTATTCTTCCTTCTGTAATTAACCAATGTTAATATGAAATAAACACATGCTGCTGGTAGGAATCACTAACAAATCTACAATGAATCAGCAATGAACTTCACAAAAGTTTCCAAAATAAGAACTAAATATATTAGATGAAAATAAAATTAAACATTAGTGTTTCATGTAAATAAAATCACCATCAAGGTGGCCCAAATAATTGTTTCACTAATAACTCTCATTGCATCCACAGAAGTCAGAATTACTATCACTTGCAACTATCATTATAGAAAAATAGTCAGTAAGCAATAGTAATATCTTAGATTTTATGTTCTTCAAAGCTTATGAAATTTATCAATATCAAATATAGAAACACTTTTCTGACCATCAAAGTGCCGACCTATTCTGCAGAATAGCTCAGGAAGTTTATTTGTGTTTATGTGGGTATATGTGTTTGTGTACAACTTATGTAGATTTTGTCATGTGAGCAGTTAAAGGATTACTTCCTTCTGATGTAGCTTTCATCTTTAGGATTTGCAGAGCAAGAGAATGTTGGGTTTCTATTTGTGAATGCAAGAATATAACCAAGCAGAGAAATATTCAATGGGAAAATAACTCAGTAAATGTTCTTAGATGTGATCAGGTATGGGAAAAACCACATAGCATATTAGAAAATTATTTCTTAAGAAGTCTTAAACAGCAAGACCATTTACAATCTTAGTTTGGAATGGGAAAGATGAGCAGCAAAAATTACTTATAGGTCAGAATAAATTTAGGTTATCTCATTATTTTCCTAATACTTTATTCATAGGGGCCAACAATACCAGAACTGGGAATATAACTTAAAGGTGATTTAATCCACATCCCCTATTAAGCTAATCTTTATCATTAATTTTCTTATAGACACTTTTTAGCTGATTTATGTCACAGCGAGTTCTAGCACACTGATTAATTAAATTGCAACCCTGAGCTTTATTCCATAAGCCCATCTTTTCACACATTGATTTGGAATCTAAATCTTTAGAGAACTTTGAACACACGTTTTTATTTTGTATATAGTAACATACTGTCTCATCTTTCACCTTTCAGCTTGAATACTAAGGGAAAAATAAAAAAATATGTGCTTATATCCCCAAAATGATAGTTTCAGCTTGATGTCACATCCTCCTAAATTCTTTTATAGAAATTTTATAGTCACAGCAGTATTTGTCATACCTCTCACCATCTGCTTCTCTTGAGGAAAATTTAAAAATGCAAAGCTTGTTTAGTATTAAAAAATATATTAATGCAATTCAGTACATGGGTAGATTAATGTGAGGAATTATGGGATGGCCAAAATGAATGCAGGGAAAAAAAGTGTACAAAATTCAACATCCAGTTAAATGTTCAACATTTAACAACCAGTTATATTTTTTGGCCACTTGCTATATGCCAGTCACTCTTCCAAGCACTGGAGATATACCAATGAGAAAATTAGACAATTAGAAATTCTTACCCTACTGGAGTTTCCTTTTTGATTAAAAACAAACATTCGAGACCAACCTTAGTAAGAGCAAGAACCTGTGTTTACTAAAAACAAAAAAAATTAGCTGGATGTGGTGGCATGTACTTGTAGTCCCAGCTACTTGGGAAGCTGAGGCTGTAGGATCACTTGAGCCCAGGAGTTGGAGGTTACAGTGGGCTATAATGACCCCCAATGCACTGTACCTTGGGTGACAAAGTGAGACTCTTTCAATAAATAAATAAATAAATAACACACCAAAAAACCTATTAACAATCTACAAAGAAGAGAGTACTCTATGCTACTTAAAGGATATTTATTAAAAACTACTAAAATCACAATAATTAATTTGAATGTTGAAAGCATTTTCTTCAAAATCAGGGAAAAGATAATGAAGTCCACTAACATCATTTTAACTCCACATTGTGCAGAATATTCAAGCCAGTCCAGTAAGACAAGATTAAGAAACAATGCTATATAAGAAAAAAAAGAAAAATTATCTTTTAGTATCCACAGATTACATAATAATGTGTGTGTAAAAAATTCAGAAGAAACTATAGGTAAATAGCTAAAATTAGCATTTGATGGGTATAAAGCAATATACAAAATTCAATTACATTTCTATATCAAAAATAAACATTTAGAAAATGAAATTCAAACAGACCATTTTAATTGCATCAAAAATGCAAATTCACTATGAATAAATATATATATGTGCAAGATCTCATAAAGATGATTATAATGTATGTTAAAATATAAAAGTAGATCTATACTGATGAAATATATATTATGCTTAAACAAGTTAAGGCTTAATAGTCTAAACATTTCTTTCTTCCTAAATTAACCTATAGATTCAATACTTTTTCAATAGAAATCTCAATATGCTTTGGGGTGGTTAGATTAGGAGATCTGACAAGATGATTCTAAAATTTGTCTGAAACAGAAAGAAACAGAACAGCTAAGACATCCCTGAAGAATCAGGACCTGATGGGAAAATTTACCTTACTTGATGCTAATTAGTATTATGAACTATGGTTATTAATTTTGTTATTGGCATAAGGATAAACAAATAGATCAATGTACCCAAAGGGAGCCCCCACAAAAGACCGAAGTATACATGGAAACTTGTATCTGATAAGTTTGTTATTTCTGATCTCTGGGGAGAGAATAGATCTGGGTAATTGGTTACCCACATAGGTAGATAGATCAACAGATTGAGATTGTCATAGATATGTAAAATTGAATTAAGAAGTCAATTTTAGAAATTATATTTGTTATCATACCATAACAAGATTCTTAATAAGACATTGATAATGAAGCATAACATAAAACATTGATCAATGATAAATTTGACTACTTTAAAATAAAGAATTTATGATTATGAAAAAGACACCAAATTAAATGAATGAAAATAAAAGAAGCATGTAAAAGCAAGCTATGAACTGGGGATAATATTTGCAACACCTATTATTGACTGTAAATTATTACCCAGAAAACAAAGAATTCTGATGAATCATTTAGATAAAAAATATACAAAAATGGACAAAAAATAAATAAATAAAAGCAAGCAGAAATACCAGGTGTTGGCAAGAATGCTAAGTTCCTGAAACTTCCATTCATTGTAGGTAGTCAGATAATGAGCATTAATAGCAAATAAAAATGTTTTCAAAATTCAACCAATTGGAAAAACAATTACTACAGTATCTAGTATTGTTCATTGTGTGCTTAAGATTGTCTTAACAATCCTACTCATATTAAAATGTTCTAGAGAAACATGAATACATGCACTAGGAGACATGTAAAAATCTCTTTATGGCAGCATCTCTACACACAAACAAAAAGCTGAAAATAAGCAAATGAAAAAATGCAATGGTTGAGTAAATTATGATGCACTCAGATAATGAAATATGATAGAGCAGTGAAAATGGATAAGCTATAGCTACATTTATTGATATGGATAAATCTCAAACTTAATGTGAATTTAAAATATTACATCAAAAATAAGTGCTGAATATTCCATTAATTTGAATTTCAAAATCAGAAACCATGTATTATTTAGAGATATGTCAATTCAGTTTAAAGAGTAGAAATAAAGCAGGAAAATGATAGACAAAAGTTTAGGTCAGTGCTGTTGCTCATCTTGCTTGTTTCTGCACATATTTTGGGCAGAACTCTTGTTCCGAAATATGTTTTCAAGGATGTTTGTACAGCAGTCAGCCTGGAAATACAAAGTGTCCCCTTTTGGGACAGAGGATTGTTCTGCCTGCTATCAAGGGTAATAAATATTATCTTTCTCTGGGGCAAAAATTGGAAAGTTTCCTTGCAATCGCCTCAAAATATTGTGGTTTTTCTAAGCTAAGAGTTCCTTAAGTGACAGGCAAGCCCACTGGATATGAAACTTCTCTCCAGCATCCACATCACCTTCATGGGACTTGGGGAGCAAAGCGAGGTAATGGAAATGTAAAGCTTACCCTCTTATAAGCAACATAGTCCTTTGCCTCTATCCTGGGAATCCTGTGTCTTCTGCCAGCATCCACAAAATTATGATAGGCTAACTTAATAGCTTGCAAGCACAGTAACATTTCTGACCCTTCACAGTTCTTGACAAGTAGAAACATCTGGCAGGGAAGAGAAGAATGCAATTGTGAGTCTCATACATGGGGTTTTTGATTGGGAGTATTGTCTCATTTGTTTCCCTGGGTGGTAGATTCACAGAGATATAATATGTACATTATTTTAAAATGCATAAGTAAAGACAAATAAATGAAAATGAAAATTACTACTAACCCAGTGTTTTAGAGTCAAATAGTGTCATGCTCTTTTCTTTCATAAAAAATACATATCATATACATATTTATGTGTTTAAATATATTATATAAAGTTGATATTATACTTTAATGTTGATTTTATATTAGTTTTTAAATTTCTGTGATATTTTTTATTTTAAATATGTTGTTTTTCATATAGTTTTTAATGATTATAGATTTTTACATCACATGGATTTACAATAATTTATTTAAAATTATTTATAATTGTTTATTATTGAATACATTATTGTTCTTATCGTTTATCCACAGCTTCTAATTCATTGATTGAAATCCGTGCTAAATTCACCTATTCCATATACAGCTGCAGAGGCTTATGCTAGTTCTCAGGATGTATTAGCACCTAACATTAAATATAGCTCAATGATGACTCATAATATAATAATAAAGGTCAGGGAAGGTTGAGTACCAAGAATTTAAATATAACTGCCACAACCATAACAGTCTTTATTGCAAAGAACTTATTTGGGAAGAAACTCTTGGTAGAATGAATATATATTGTTTTACTCCTAAGAAGATGATGATAGATGCTTATGACAAATATGTTGTCTACACACATCAGTCATAATTTTATCTATCACTTCCTTTGGCACATGGAATATCCATGTGCCCAAAATAAGTAAGAGTAAGACAAATCATCAGGAGAAGATGGAATGCAGTTTCAAAATTTTTAGTAAGCAATACCCTTTGGACTTAATCTGACATGTGAGAAAAAGAAGAGTGACAGTTTAAAAAAAAAATGGAAGAATTGAAAAGTTTCTAGGAGAAATTCTAGATGCTATTAACTATGGAAAGTTAACTTTACATTACTAGTAATCAGGGAACAGTGTGAACATACCCAACTTTCGGGCTTTTTAATAAACTTATACAAGTAGGAACAAGTCTCTGTTGCTCCAAACAGATGACTTTTGGAGGCATAAAACAAAGGACATATAAGAAAGCAGAGAAGTCAGCACTTGAAATTCTTCTAATTTTAATGACACTGGTTATTTCTCCCATTTGATCCTATAAAGTTTAGTTACCATAGTACGATTCTCAGTAGAGGTTCAAATGCTTTATCCAAAATATGTAGAGCCAAATATGTTACAAATATTCAGAATCCTTCTATTTTAAAAAGGTAATATGGTGCATAAATTGTATACAATATAATATTCTCGATAGCATCTGTTACAGCACTCCATAATCAAATTCCATAGTATTGCTGCCGTGAAACATATGAAGAGCTACACTAAGCAAGAAAAATAAAGACTATGGAGAACCTTACATCATTCATTTCAAGTTTTGTCATCAAATAAATTAACTAGACAATTATATAGAAAATTTTAGTTTTGGGGGCTATTTTGAATATTTTTAAATTTCAGCATATTATGGGGGTACAAATGTTTAGGTTATGTGTGTTCCCTTTCCCCTCCTTCCCCCTGAAGTCAGAGCTTCAAGCATGTCCATCCCCCAAATGGTGCATATCACACTCATTAGGTATGTATATACCCATCTCCTCCTCCCCTCTCCCATCTGCCTGATGCCCCATAAATGTGATTTCTAAATGTCCACTTAGGTGTTGATCAGTTAATACCAATTTGCTGGTGAGTACATTCAGTGCTTGTTTTTCCATTCTTGGGATACTTCACTTAGTAGAATGGGTCTATGACCATACCATCCTGAACGCACCCAATCTCGTCTGAATTTTAAAATTATATATGAAGTAGTGTCTATCAGTGTGCTATGGCACACAAATTAGCACAGCACATCAGAGTGTAGTATAATTTATATGTAATATAAATTATAAAAATTAATATTACATACAATAGCCTTAAAATCTCAAATATGATCAATCTGTCAAAAATTTTAGGGATCATTTGGAACTTATCATTATTCTACATTTTGTACAAGACATATTATAAAATATAAGATAAGATATATGAATTTGCATGGTATTAAAAGTAGTCATGCTTTCAATTTAATAACTGCATATTTTACTATATCTTTAACTGTACAAAAATATATTTATTTATGACTACAAAAATGAAGAAAATATAGAAGGTTATGATTTATAATTTTAGTTATGTTCTGTACTTAATTTCTGGCAAGTCAGAACATATTCATGAGTACAAACAATATGGTAGAGAACTAATGTGCAAAAAAACGTTCTGAAGCTGAGTGTGCACCTGGTTGAGTCCCAGATACTCAGGAGCCTGAGGTAGGAGGATCACTTGAGGCCAGAAGTTCAAGTGTAGTGTGCTATGTTCACGCATGTGAGGAGCCTTTGCACCCCCCTCCACCCTGGGCAACATGGTAAGCCTCATCTTTTTTAAAAAATTAAATTACATTAAAAAATTAAAATATGCTGTTTTTAAATAGAAAAGAAAAATTATGTTTTGTATCATTGAAACCAAAATCATCAGATAGAAGTCTAGATTGGTTCATGTCTTGCATCCTACTTCAGGCACGATCTCTCTCCAACAGATTAGATGCCAAAACTGTTGTACATAAGACTCAATAATTTGAAAAGTTGAACTTTCCTAAGATGTTGTCTGACACCATAAAATACAGGAGTACCATTTTCAGTCTCAAGTTCTTTGTCTTAACATAAAAGATTTCTTGGAAGGACAAAACTACAGTAATAATGCTAGCTGTTGAAAATTATTGAGCATTTCCTATGCACTAAGCATTACTCTTTACATGTAACTTGTGATATTTTATTTAATTCTCACAATATCTATATGTAGGAAATTATTTGTATCTGAATATTACATGCAAAGAATCCTTCCTAGAAAAATAAAAGACCTTATTCAAGGTTCTAAAGATAAAGAGAGATGTACCCAAGCTGGAAAGAGGTTCTGCATGACCACAGAACTAATGCTCTGGAACACTAGTTTGTTTAACCATGGGTGTTCATTAGTCAACAACATGATATCACCAAAGCACATACATGACTGCTCTATTTATTCATTTTACTTCAATTACTAGGTTATCACTGCATTTCATATATGACCATGTTCATAAAAAAGTAAAGGGAAAATTCAATCAATTTTAAAATAATTTCCTTTCTACCTGTTTATGTCCTCTGCTATTTTCTTCTCCAGTGTTTCATAATTCTCCCTGTACAGGTCTTTGACCTTCTTAGTTGAATATATTCCTAGGTATTTTATTTTCTTTGTTGCTATTGTAAAGGCTATTGAGTCTTTGATTTGGTTCTCAGTTTGACTGTTTGTCAAACCCACATATAAAACCATCCTCATATAGCCATCTAATATTTGACAAGGCAGACAAAAACATACACAACGGAAAAAAATTCTTATTCAATAAATAGTGCTGGGAAAATTAGATAACCACATGTAGAAGACTGAAACAGGATCAGCACCTTTCACCTCTCACAAAAATCAACTCACAGTAGATAATAGACTTAAACCTAAGGCATGAAACTATAAGAATTCTAGAAGAAAATGTTGGAAAAACTCTTATAGACACTGGCCTAGGCAAAGAATTTATGAAGAAGACCCCAAAGGCAATCACAGCAACAACAAAAAGAAATGAATGGGCCCTGATCAAATTAAAAAGCTTTTGCACAGCCAGGGAAACTATCATGAAAGCAAACAGACAACCTAGGGAATGGGAAAAAATATTTGCATCCTATACATTTGATAAAGTGCCGATAACTAGAATCTACATAGAACTCAGGAAAATCAGCAAGAAAAAATCAAACAACTCTATCAAAAAGTGGGCAAAGGACAATGAACAGAAGCTTTTCAAAAGAAGATAGACTAATTGCCAAAAAACATATGAAAAAAATGCTCAACATCTCTAATCATCAGGGAAATGTAAATCAAAACCACAATGCGATTATCACTTATCTCCAGTGAGAATGGCCTTTATCAAAAAGTACCAAAACAATACATTTTGGCGTGGATACAGAGAGATAAGAACACTCATACAGTGTTGGTGGGACGGCAAACTGGTACACCTCTATGGAAAGTAATATGGAGATACCTCAAAGAGCTAAAGTAGAACTACCAATTGATCCAGCAATCCCGTTACTAGGCATCTACCCAAAAGAACAAAAGACATTCTATAAAAAACACATCTCCACTAGAATGTTTATAGCAGCACAATTCACAATTGCAAAGATGTGGAAACAAGCCAAGTTCCCTTGGATATATGAGTGGATTTATAAAATGTGGTATATGTATACCATGGAGTTCTACTCAGTCACAAAAAACAATGGTGATCTAGCACCTCTTGTATTATCCTGGATAGAGCTGGAGCCCATTCTACTAAGTGAAGTATCCCAAGAATGGAAAAACAAGCACCACATGTACTCATCATCAAATCGGTATTAACTGATCTACATATAAGTTCACATGTAGTAATAACATTCATCTTGTGTTGGGCAGATGAGAGTTGGAGGAGGGGATGGGTGTATACATACCTAATAGGTGCAGTGTGCACCATCTGGGGGATGGACATGCTTGAAACTCCAACTTGGGTGGGGCAAAGACAATATTCGTAACCTAAACATTTGTACCCCCATAATATGCTGAATTAAAAAAAAATTCAAAAAAACAAGAAAAAGAAAGCTCCCCCACTCTAAAAAAACAAACACCCCCCCCAATTAAATAAAATAAAATTTTAAAAATAAATAAATAATAATAAAAATATAAAATAATTTCTTTGGGGTGTTATTTAATCTAACAAAAGGAATCAACATAAAAAGATGTAACTACTAGAGCTATTCAGAGTTGTTATTAAAGCAGGTTAATAAACTTCCTTTTCCAAAGCAATAAAACAGCAAAAAGGTAAGGATGCTGGCTATTCACTAAGTTAGATCTTTTAAATCATCAAAGTAATAAATAAAAAATTGTAAAATAAGCAGTGCTGGCAGACAAAAAAATAAAGCACTTAAAATATAAATAAAGAAATCTAAGACAAGAGCTCAAGAAGAAAGTGGAGAAATTGCGGGGCTCTAAAATGCATACTCTTCCTCTGCTAACTAATCCATTTAATACTTTCACAGGTAAGTAAATATTAATCTCTCCAATTGTAGTTAAGAGAACTGTGAGATTCTGTGAAATCAAGTCATTTGTTCAACCTCCAGCTTAAATCTGTTGAAAGGACAGAATCTCTAGGCAAATACCACAAGCTCACACAGTGACTAAGTTCATCTTTTGTGTGAACAGATAATATGAATTTAATTTTCTTAGAGATTGAAATAAGTAACACAATTTTATATGCACACAAAAATCTAACTCTAAAGTATCTCAGTGGGTACTACTGATAGAACTGAATATATTTTTTAAGGATTCTGTGTCACTGACCTCTCACTGTTAAAAGAAAAGGTATTTAGGTGGAGAAGAATACTATGATTTGAAGAGCAAACTGCTAATTAGTGGCAGAACTGAGAACACAGGTTTTCCCACTCCCTGTCCAGAACGCTTTTCACTTATTTTCATTTAGAGTGTATTTTCTAGTTCTTGTCCACTCATTCACCAGTTCTTTATCTTCTAATTCATAGATTGTAGTAAGTAATTACATTATTAGGAAAAAATGTAAAGTAAATGTAGTATTTTGCATCTGCACAAATATTCCAATTTATCAGTAAAGTATTTCCTCAAAAATAAGTATGACTCTCAATGGAATAATATCTTTTGTTAATTTAGAAGAAATTTTCTAGTTATTACTTGGTTGCCACAAGACAAAAAAAATTCTCTAATACAGTAATTATTTTATGTCTCTAAAGGTTAAAAAAAAAAAAAAAACTTTTGTTAATTTAGAAGAAATTTTCTAGTTATTACTTGGTTGCCACAAGACAAAAAAACATTCTCTAATACAGTAATTATTTTGTCTGTAAAAGTTAAAAAAAAAAAAAAAAAAAAAAACCTATTGGCATAGATCTTTACTAACGACTTTGAAGTTCCTTAATGTTGCAAACACTCTAGTATTTAGGTTCATAGGAATAAAAAAGGAATTGGTAAATAAACAATAGATGATGACATAGAAAATAAAATTTCTAGAGTTTTAATATCATTTAATGGATGAAAATATGAAAAATATTTATATGAACTAAGATTTCCCCCTATCCAAAGATGAAGACACCATCTCCTACTCCTGCTCTAGAGACACTCCAAATTCCATAGAAATCTTTGCCAAATGCCTACCATGTGCTAGTATCCTTGGAAGATTCTGTATATTTCATATTCAACAAGAGGTAAAACTAGAGACAGCCATATTTTGTTCACCCAGTTTGCCAAAACCTGCAATTAAAAGAGTAAAAATAAACAGTAGCTTTCAGAAACCTTGAATATTCACCAAGTTAACTGGCCCTTTGTGATGGCATCAAAGAGGGGACTAATGAGCATGTCCAGACAAAAAGAAGATATCTGGGAGAGGCATTGACTTAGCAGCGGAGACAAAGACAGGGTTCAAAGAATGAGTTGGAATCTGTGGTCAGGCAGGGGAGTGGTTAGCGAACAAATTGTTTTATGTCGTGTTCATACAAGTCAGGCAGTGTCCTGGGTGCAGAGATCCAGGAAAAAAATAAAGCAAGACTTCTACTATGAAATTTAAAAGTGAGTTGATTTGGTTTTCAGGCATGCAACTGTCATTTTCACTTTTGGATATTTCCTGTGGCAGTGTGTAGACCTGGGAACATAGAAGATGAGGGGAAGAAAGAAAGGATTGAAGTCAATTACAATCTCAAGTTTGGGGGAAAAAAATTAATGCTCAATTATCTTACATTGGATATGCAGAATGAAATTTTAAGTGGATCATGAAGTATTATGCACATTCTCTTTAGTGTTATTACAAATGAGAAGTACTGCAGTTAATAGTTTGTACAAACTGTTCAACCAGACCAATTCATGATTAAGCCACTTAGGAACAACAGGATTTAGGAACTTCTCTGAGCCTCACACTCTTGTTTCCAATGTTGGGATAATAATAGTGCCTACTTCACTGGATTGTTATAAATATTAATGGAGGAAATTCAGATAAAATGCAGAGCAATATAAAGCTGATAGTAAGTGCTTCATAAAATTTAACTATGACTGAAATTCACATTAATCAATACATGATAATGGTTATAAGTTTGTGCTGCATTTTTTGGAACAAGATTCTATATCCACACAATAAATCAATAAACAATGGTTAATAAATTAGTAGTTATTGATTTATTTTTAAATACTGACTTGGAATTATTCCCCCAGGGAACTATCTACAACATAACTCATGGCCCTATATATACCTATCAGTTTATTTTAAAAGTAACACAGCATAATGAAAATAGCAATGGTCTTCCTTAAAAGCTGATGTACCTAAATTGGAACCATAATCCCTTGCTGCCTTAATACTTTGATTTAATTTCTTACAGTCTTCAATTTTTTCATCTGCAAAATGGCAATTACAATAATCCCTACTTTATAGAGTTGTAAGGATTATGTTAGATGAAATTAATATATTCTAAAACACTTAAAACAGTGCCTGTCACATAGTGTTATATAAGTGGTTTTCAAGTAAATTATTTCTAACATATGCTTATGTAGATTTCACTGAAGAGAGAGAGAGCAAGAGTAGGGATGGGAGAGAGTGAGAACCAGACAGAACACACACACATAAACACACTTAGGGGGTTTATTTAAACTTCAAGAGAATCACAATTCAAGAAATAGAATGTTCCTGTTGTTTAGGATGGTAAATATGGCAGTTAAGGGGTTACGCTGTTGAAATTATACAGTTTAGAGATAATGCTATTTCTTTCCATTTTTGTAAGGTAGACAAAATCAGACTGCAATAACTCAATTTATTAGACTAAGCCAGATATTATGAACTCAATATTCAAAACCATCTAGTGTAGGACCACAGAATATACAATGTCTTCCCCTACAAAATCACATAGAATTCAAATACTAGAAGAGTAACAAAAATTGGAGTTGAATAAATAACTATTTCCAATATAGTTGTGTATCTGGCTTGCATGGTTAAAACATAATTTAAGGGCTGTGCTTAGTTTTAATTTTAGAGAAGTTTGTAGTTTTCTTCAAGTAATTTGCAAGTTCAGGTAATAAACATTAAAAAATGTTAACATTTTTTTCCTCCCCACTTACCTTCATGTCCTAATTTAAATTCAAAATTCATTGAGGCATGCAAGAAGAGCTGTTATTTTGCATATGGGACTAGAGAATGGAATGGCAGTATCCCTGTTGTATGAGAAAATGAGATAAATCCAAGTAAGTTACTTTGCATTTATAAAGGAGCAATAAGCTAAAAATCTCACAGCCAGATTCACAAAGAGACATTTCTGGAAAAAAAAAAATTAAACCACTTTCTTTGGTAAGAAGCCACTTTGGGGAGTATTTTTTATCTTTTCAACTCTTTTTAAACAAACAGTCATTCTCTTTCTTTCTCTCCCTCCTGCCCCCTTTTATTCATTTTAAAATTCCTATGACAATTTCTAAAATTCATTATCTCAGACTTAACTCTCATTATCTTTAATACTTTTAGAAAAAGTAATTTATCAGTGGTTATTTGAGTGGAAGATTATAACTATTGTCATTGTAATGTAGCAGAGATATTTTCTATTCAAAATCCCCTCAACAATAAACAAATAACTTGCATCAAAATGATAGAATGAGACAATATTCTGGCCCAAATCTACTCTAGGTTGAGTATAGAAAATCAAAATAGTTTACCAATCTAACCTACATTTTCAGCAAGTTGAAAAAAAAAAAAGTAAAACAAGAAGAAACAGCAACAATCTGTGTTTACTGAACACAGGTCATGAGGGCATGTATAAACTCACAGATGATTGCCTTTGTCAGCTTTGTAACCCTACTGAAGCTTTGGAAGGTATTGGAGCATACACTTGGCATATATTATTCTCCCCTCCAAGACCTTACTAAACCTTTACTCACCCTGTTCATTGCCCTTGTGTGATTTGAGCATTTCCAGGAATGCTGATATCCATATATTAATCTGATCGCTTTTTAATATAATCATGCCCCTATTAAACCAGCATAAGGGAAATAAATGTCTTATGTCACTTTTCATAATCAGATTTAGTTGTGTTGGACAATTCTTATCCTTTTATCCAAATTTTTTTTTCTGACTAAAAGCATACATATTTGAGACAATATATACAATAAATAATTTCATGGTCTACAGCTATGAAACAGAATATCAATTTTCCATAAATCATACCCTGATACTAATTTCATTTACCTAATGCTAAAAGTGTTTCATAATACTGAACACAGATAATGCATCCAAAGTTATAGGCTGCTCTGGTAACTTATATACTAATATTGCTTTTTATTTATAGGCAGAGTCCCCAAATTTTGTTGATGTGTATCAGAGAATTTCATAAAAATATAGAGGGCAAAGCGACATTCCCAACAAATTCCTCCCAAAATTCTAATTAAGAGATGAATTTCTGACGAAACATACTCAAAATTTACATCATGTAATTAGCATTCATGACTCACGTGCATATTAACAATTTTCATCATTATATTTGAAGTATATCACTATTTACAAAGTTTTTAATATTCATTTAAACACTATGAGGTGCCATACATATTCTGTTAATCAATGAGTCATATATATGTATGACTCATTAATATATGTTAATATTATCATATAAGTATAATATGTGTTAATATGTAAATATAACATGCATTTTTATATATCCTTTTCTCTCTCCCAATCCACCCATACACATAGACACACACACATATACACACACATGCTATTTGTTTCCTCTGTATTTTAATGCTAGCTCTTACTTAATGTTAGTTCTTAGTTTCAGTGTCTTTCTTTCCTCTGATCAATAAGTTCCCAGATGGGAGCTGGTTTCCAGATGTTCTCTGGCTAGTCTCTCCTCTATACTGCTACTAATGTTAGCTTTCTAGAAGACAGTCTTTATAAAGACATTGTTTAGTGATTCTTCTCTGGTTATAAGATAAACCCCCAACTCCCTAACAGATAAGGCTTGCAAGATGCTCTACTAGCCTCCAAATGTGCTATTCAGCGGCTCCTCCTTTCTCTTCTCCATTTATGTGCATTTTCCTCCAACTAAATGCAAACTTTTTACTATTCCTGCTCTTTTGGACCTGTAAGGTTTAACAGATATTATATCGTCACCCCCAGAGTGATTTTCTCATGAAAACTCTTGATAGATATTAATTTCCTAGCTTATATATCACCTAATCTAGTTATATATATATATTATATGTAATATATATAAATGTATATTATATATATAATAAACGAAAATTTATGGGGCTTCTTTCTGAGACCTCAGGTGGAGTGAGTTGCCCCCATAGGAAGTTATATATTTGTTTTTAGTTTTATACCATTTTTCATGAAAAAGTGACTCTTTAAGACTCTTGTCAAAAAGATGCAATTGTGGAGGAGATGGTTAATATTCCTAAGCCATAGCTACACTGACTCTTTGTTTCTGGTCTGGGTGCACAGTATCTATTATAAATGGAATAAAAAATACCATTTTCTATTCACATTTGCATTTATTTATTCTAATGTTGAGAAGACCAATTTTACCTTCTCTTTCAAATTTTGAATGTTTTTAATCTTTAATGACTTCACTAGCAGGGATTTGGTAAAAGATAAGATTGAAAATGAGGCTTCACAAAGAACTCAGCTTTGAAAATCTTTCTAAATCCTTAATAAGACTCTCAAGGTTGTTCAAAATGACCGTAGGGTCATACAAAAATATTATCAGGTCTTACAAGTGAGTATCTTGGGTGGGAACTGGTTGGCCAGAGGTTGGAGGGGAGATAAGTGGTTCTGTTAATCTCTTTTGTATAATACCTGGTGCTGCAAGGGAAACCTATGGGTACCTTGTAAGTGTTATTTCAAGATAATGAATATATAAGGAAGCACTATGGCAGGCAACATTTGTAATCTTACCATGTTTTCATCCTACATCACAGAGCTTTCTCAGCAGCACAATGAAACTGCTGCTTGATTGCAATGTTAGTGAAAATTCATTCGACCATGCTCTTAGGGGTCAATTTTTAAATTATAATATGAAATTTAATCAACTTTCTCTATGGCTTATTTTTTAAAGTCCATTTGCTATAATGATCATTGCTTAATGACTATGGTGCTGGCTACGTTCTTGCTGCCCGAAGTTTGGTCTTTGGTCTGGCAGCTTTATGAGCATCACCTGGGAATTCATTAAAAATGCAGAGTTTCAGGTTCCTCCCCAGATCTATTAAATCAGAATCTGCATTTTAACAGAACCCTCAATTGATTCAATTGCACGTTAAAGTTTGAAAGGCATTGATGGAAGACATCACCAAGCATAATTTTCTGGATTCCATTAGTTTGACACAAACTAAGTTTTACATTTTAATAAGCTTAAAAGGTAAAACTAACATTAAATTATTCAATCATAACACACTAAGGGAAAGACTGTTTGCTGTCTAATTCTGGAGTATTTTTGACCACCAAATCATAATGACCTTAACAATCCCCTATTATGAGTCAAGTAATTTTATCTGTAGCTCTCTTTGGATCACAATTCCTACTTTGTGTTTTAGTTACTTATGTATAAGCCTCATTTTCTAAACAGTTCTTTGAAATGCTTGAATATAGGAACTTATTTTATACTCCACAAAACTTAGAAAACAGTAGGCTCCCAACAGCCCGAGTTTATAATTACTCAATATTCTAGATCACTGGTTTATTGGAAAAATAAATATTACTTTTTTTGTTACCTTGGTATATTTCTTTTGGATATTGTATAGCACATTTTAACCTTTCAATTATTATATAAATATTTTAAGTGCTCATAAATATTTTTAAATATATATTATTAATATTATTTATAGTTTTAGTAATTCCATTCATGCATATATGCAAAAATGTTTATTAATTATCTACTCTATGCCAGGCAATGTTTTATATGCCTGAGGAACAGCAGTGAACAAGACAACCAAAAACTCCTTTTTTAATGGAGTTTACATTTTAGTGAGAAAGAAAGAAAAATGAATAAAAACTATGTAGTAAATCACTTGGCAATATTTGCTCTAGGGAAAAATAAAGCAGGAAGTATAATAAGGAATGCAGAGATAGCGAGAAAGGGCTGGGCGTAGACAGTGCCCCATTGAGCTTTATAGGGACTAGAATCTAGGAGTGAAGATTAACCTTAGATGCTTGAGTTTTTAAGGTAGTTGATATAAATGGGGAAAAAAAGACATACAGGAATTAATTTTGGTAATCTTGATACAGATAAAGGGGAGAGATTTATGAGAATTGGGGAGCTGTTAGAGAGAGTAGGGTCTTACCAGGATGACACAGAGTTCTAAAGCCTGCTTCACTCTGGACAAGGATGATGACTAAGAGGCCAGAAATGGATTGGCCTTATCTGGAACATGAAGATTTATTGGGTCTCATCTTGAGTCATATTTCTAAAAGCACTTTATTTTCTATATCTCATTTGATCCTCACTTAGGCACATGATTCAGAAATTATTATCTTTAATTCATGTCAAAGAAACAAAAAGGCCAGAGATTAATTATATTTAGTTGGTGACCTAGCTTTGCTAACTTAAAGGCAAGCATCAGACCACACTGTCTACAGTGAAATAAAATAAATAAAATTTACACTGAAATAAAATCTAGATTTCACCCCAAACCTACCATTAATTCAAACCAGTAAAGCATACACAATGTAAGAAAGAGATACATCCTTTCCGTTGCTGTAGTCCATGAACCAAAATCTTTCCAGGACTGCCCTGTACGTTTTGCAAGGCCATTGGTTAGAAAACCATGATTCACCATTCCCACTCTTAGAAATCTTTCCCACCAGATTTGTGAGCTCTGAATCAAAATCAATTTTATTAGATAGGAATATAAGGCAGTCAGGCAATGATAAATTAAAGCAGAAATCTCTTGTCAGGAGGAAAGTTTGAGTTATCTGGAGTGTCCAAAATGGCATGCCCCATATACATCCACGTCCTCACGCTGTAAACAAGTCAAGGCTTCTTCCCGGTTGTTTAGCTTCAAGGCAGGCAGGCCTGGCGAGATGCTAAGCAGAAGTGGCAGGAAGGCTAACACAGTGTCACAAAGAAGGCAGTACACCTCAACCTATATAGAGCACCCATCTCTGAGAACACTAGCTTATCTGCATGAAGTAGAAGTCTCTGCTTTCCTGTACTTCTGTTCACATATGAAACATTTAAAATAGCCTTAAGTGACGAAAGCCTTGGAAAGTTTTTGAAACTGAACAGATAGTTGTTGGCAAATCTTTGCTATTCATATTCTCCAGGTGAAGTGTTCCTCCACCCTCTTTAGCGCTGCATTGTGATGGCTCTCATAACATTATCTTGTCTAATGGCTCTGATCCCTCAGCAATGATGGATGCCTGCCTTGCCTACAAATGGTTTAACTCCACAAATGTAAAAGGGAATGAGGACTGTCAGTCCCTGACATTGCCGAAAAGCAACGGATTGTCTAGCTCCTCGGCTCTCAGTGGTATTGAAATCACCCTGAGTCAGGGAGCCATGTGGTTACTAGCCCCTGAAACCTTTAATATTATTCTGTAATTGTTTTGAGAGTGTCAGGTTAAATGTAAATAACACTTTAACTCCTCTAATTATTCCCAGTGCCTGCATTTATAATCCAATCCATCAATAATCACTTGTAGCCCAACTTTTATTCCACTGAAAGCTACTTGGGGGATCCATGAAGGAAAAAAAAATTGTGGTCTGCGTAATTTGAATTTTTAGATTCATTTTAATTAGATGTATATACTTGGATAACTGAAGAAAAATGACATTTACTTTATTTTATTTTTTCTTTGTTTTTTTAAGATTACTTCTCACCATGGAACATAAATAACATATTTAAAGAAACAAAAAAGGACACAGAAATAATAGCTACTTTTTTCTTTGACTTCTATAGGGCCCTCAGAGCAAGATTACTTATCTCTATCATCTGTCTACATATCTGTTTATCAACTATTTATCAACATGATGGGATTGATAAAGAAAAGAAAACAAAATTACTGAGGAAATACTAATTGCTAAATATTTTTCCTGCAATAAATTATGTTTTCTCAGCAATCCTGTGTGTTGGGAAATACCCCAATTTCACAGAAACTCATTGGAGAAAGTTACATAAAATTAGTTGTCTGACAAACACCAGAACTGTTATTTGAATTTAGGATTTTCTATTATTCTGCTTTCTATTTCTAATTCAAGTGTTTGTGTCCTTTCCTCCATATGATTCTGCCTCAGGGCCAGGAATTTGATGGAAACTTAGGTGGGGAAGTGGTGTTATTTTTCACTTGCCAGTCCCTCCAAGTAGCAGTTAACAGATCTTATTCCACTGTCAGACTTTTGGAGGACAGATGGGTCAGAAATGAATAAGACAGATGAATTCTGGCTGAAGTCATGATGACATCTGAACCAATTACAGTTACTTTTTTTTTTTTTTACTGAAGAGATTTCACTCTGTTGCCCAGGCTGGAATACAGTGACACGATCATAGGATCATAGCTCACTACAGCCTTGAACTCTCGAACTCTTGTGCTCAAGTGATCCTCCTGCCTCAGCCTCCAGAGTAGCTGGGACCACAGGCCCTCACAACCATGCCTGACTCCCAAGTTGTGTTCTTTGCTCTGCACTCCCATTCTGCTACAGAATAGTATAATGAATATAAGGACTAACTGATTTTATGTCAATTACTTCAGAGATAGATTTTACTGTGGTTATTTACAAGGTGATAGAATGATATATAGGTTGTCACTTTTCTGAAGTACTTGAGACCAAAAGTGTTTTAGATTTTGGATTTTTTTGGATTTTGAAATATTTATATATACATAATAGGATATCTTGGGGATGGGAACAAATCTAAACACAAAAGTCATTTATCTTTCATATATACCGTATACACATAGCCTGAAGGTAATTTTATGTAATATATTTAATGATCTTGTGAATGAACAAGGTTTTGACTTCATTTTGACTGTGACCCATTGCAAAATTCACAGGTGTAGAATTTTCCACTCATGGCATCATGCTGGTACTCAAAATTCTTGGATTTTGGAGCATTTTGGATTTCATATTTCCAAATTAGGGATGCTCAACCTGTACCTAAAGTTTGAATGGTGCCTTCAGATCTTGGATCTCAATTCTTCTTATTCAATCTCTAGCATTACAATCAATTCCACAACTTTTTCTTTTCAGAGCTAAGAATTTGAAGATCAATGTTGCCTTATTCTATAAAGATAAAAATTAAACAAATGAACAAATTCTGCTAGTTCTTTATAGTTATTACCAATAAAATCATGGTGAAATTGGAGTTTAAGAAATTATTTTCTTTCCTTTAAGATTGGATATTTCCTTTAATATTGTAGTCATTGAGAAAGGATCATAACACAATCTAGCCATGAATACATTATGTTGAAAGTTAATTAATCTCTACATATTAAACCAGATGTCATAAGACTCATAAAATGAAAGAGACATTAGAGATTATATAATCTATTATTCAGATAAAAAAATGATATGCAGGGCACTTATGTGATTAACCCAGCATCTAGACAGTTTCTGCAAGAGGTAACTTCCAGCCCACAGTTTCTGAATTCATCTCCAACATCTCTAAAAACAAATTTGCTTTGCTTTCCACCCACCCCATTTTCTTGACTTGCAGATATTAACAAAAAGGCAAATTTTAATTTCGCATTTATTTTCTATCATCATAGATCTAAACATAGTCTGAGGTGACAAGGTACATTATAGTTTGTTTGCTCAAGTATGATACATATGCCTTGATTTCAATGAATTGTGAGGGCATTCTGCAGTCTGCAGTCAGACACCTGCAGGCAATCAACCACACTCCTACCTTACTGCACCTTTAGCTACAGTTCCTGGCAAGCACATCACAGCAGTAGTCATCCATTGTGTTTCACAGTAAAGAAGAACATCATCGGTGCAGGAAGAGTGAGGCTCATGAAGGGTTAGGCTAGCTTTGGCTCTCAACATTGCCCTGTCAGAAATAAAATGTTTTTATCAGGACCAACCAACTCCTCATTACTCATCCTCTGGATCTTTGCCGGCTGACTCAGATTGCCACTGCCTAGCCAGGACAAGAAAGTTAAACTCCAAATTCTCTGCTCCAGCTTTGACACAAAAGCCCGATTTATCTAGTACTGAAGCATCACCCGATGTAACCTTTGTATAAGAGGAAGCTTTTGAAAATGTATCCATCTTTTGAATCCATCAGGTTATTTCCTACAAGTTTATTGCCTCAGGTAGAAGAAAAAAGTCGATATATTTCTGAAATTTTAGCTAGATATACCAAATACGATAATTCTGAAACACAATGACTTTTTTTTCTCCTATGGTGCCAAATTTTGCCTGGCTATTTTTATCACACAATACTGGCATGCCAGGTTTTAAAGGGCAGTACAATTTTTTTATAAACCCACAATTTCTCCTGATCTGTTCTATTATCTTGAATTTTCCCTTTTTAAGATAAGAGTATTGCTTAAGAAGAATATGTGATCAAAGTAGCAAATAAACATAAGAATGCACAGAGGAAATCAACAAATAACTCATACACAATGACTTTGAAAATATTTGTATATATTTCTGTATGCATGTACATTTCTTTTTAAAAAAATAGAAATATCATGTACAAAATCTGCTTTTGTTGATTTAGAATTTGATAGTGATTATTTTCCCAAATCTAAAGCCATTATTTTATAGCATTTTAAAAATCTTTAGAGTATTTCATTAAAGTACAATAATTTATTTTAGCAATTTTTATTGTTGGACATTTAGATCATTTCTGGTTTTTCACTATTATAGATAAAGTGTGTTGAATATTACTTTTACCTTTGCACAGCTCAGAATAAATTGCTATAAGTGACCAGCAGGGATATACTCACTTTTACCTTCAACAATTTTATACCATCTTGTGCTTCTAATACTCAAGGGATCTTGTTTATTTGTTCATTTAAAAACTGTTTCATGGTGGCCAATTCTGTGCCAGGCACTAACCTGGGTACTGGGGCAATGGTCAAGGAAAATAGACACAACCTCAGCCCTGGAGATGGAAACACAATCTATTTAGGAGAGAAGTGATTAGTCAAATAATTACACTGTTAATTATTAATAATTAACACTATTAATACTAGGTAGACAGTATAAGACAGCAGAAAGGAAGCTGTATTTTCATTGTATTTTGTGTATATTTTTAACTCTATTATAGTGTATATATGTTTTTACTTTTGTATTTTTTATTACTAGTATTATTTACTCATTTATAAATTTATAAATTAAGTGGGAATGTCCTATGCTCATTATGTTATCAATATTGATTTTAAAAATAATTCTCACATTCAAATGTTGGTTAATTATATAAGCACATTGACCTTTTGTCAGATCGTATAAGTATTTTCCTTCTAGATTAGAAAGCAAGATTTTACTATTTTTGACATACGAAAGTTTTATTTTTTGTAGAAAAATCTACCAGACATTTCCTTTATGCTTTATGACTTAAGTGTCATACTTAGAAAGGCCTTTTCCCACTAAGATTACACAGACAAACCTAACCTTTCTGAATTTATTGCTAGAAGTACGTTCTTTGACCTGCTCAGAGGAATTTACACATCTCAGAAGCAGAGTTAATCTTTAGTTATAAATACTTCACCTTTGTCAACCTCATGGTCTTATTTTATTTATGGCTAACCCTTTATTATCTATGATATTGAGAAAGGTATAACCACACATGTTGAAATGGCTTTAAAATCACCACTCTGTAAGTGTATAGAAATAACCTAGGGTTGGTGTTGTTCACACCATGGGTTAGCACACACTTTAATGCTGCTATGCTCAGTCTTTAATGCTACCTATGCTCAGTCTTGGTGACAGATTTGCATGAAGAGTCTATTGTGTTATCGTGGAAAGAAACTAAGTTCTCTGCCAAGAATCCTGGGTTGTGTTTTAAATCCGCCATCAACATACTGAAATTCGGGGTATGATTTTGACTTCTGAGCTCCCAGTAAAGAAAAATTAAAATAACCCCTCATCTATTGTGAGAATGACATTACATTAACTAATTAATTCAGAAAGCATTTAATAATTTTTTTGGCATCTAGCCTCAAGAGGATATACATATATTAAGACGAAAATTCACATACTAAAGAAACACAGTGAAAACTTTAAAATAATCATTTTCATCAAAGTTTGATGAGAGTTACAGGAGAGATGTGCTCTGAAAGCTGAGGTAGCACAGACGATGGGTACCTGGCTCAGCCAGTGAGAGCCAGGGAAACTTTCCCAGAAGAGCCGACACCTTGGCTGAATTCTGCGAAAAGGGCTACACAGCCTCTTGAAGAATAATGGGACAGTGTGTTTCTAGGCAACATTCTTTCATAAGACATAGCATGCTGTTTTAGAACAGCAAGTAAATCCCTATGGGTAGAGAGGGGGTACAGGGTGTGCAAAGAGGCTGGAGAACCTGTCTTTGTATGACAGGTTAGATAGTTTCGACTCCAAAGACTATGGATAATTATTGAACATTTTTAGCTGCCAAATAACATGATCAGAAGGAAAGAGACAAAGGTAGTTTCAGAAGTGAAAAAGAGCATAAAGATACATTAAGGCCTTAGTCACCAAATTTAGAAATGTTAAATGAGCATCCAAGAAAATAGCCTGAAACTAGAAGAATAAAAAAAATCCACAATATAAATAGCAATGTTTTAATAATAAGATTTAAACATAAGGTTGGCTTCTAAAATTGTTATGCAAATTCTAAAATACTTGTGGTAAAAAAAAAACAAACAAAAATATTCAGGAAGACTCTGACAAATAAATTATAATACTTAAAAGATTATGGTTACATATGCATGAATACACATATAGACCAAAGGAACAGAAGAGAAAGACTGGGAATAACCCAAATGCATATGGAAATTTTGTGTATAGTAAATGCAATTACTTCAAATTTGTGGAGTTAAGATGTATTTGTGAATAAATGATTGTGATTCAACTGGGTGAGAGAATTTAGATCTATATCTCTTAACATATATAATCTTCAAATTAATATTTAAGTGTAAAAAATAAAACTACACCTGTGTTCAAAGAAAATATAGGTAAATAATTTTATAAAATTGCAGCAGGGAAAATTTTCTACTTATGGCCCAAAACCTAGAAACTATGAAATTATAAGCTGAGAAAATCAACTATAAATACATTAAAAAACATCTTCATGGCAAAAATTATCATGCAAAGACAAAATAAGAATATGTCACAGGAAACATATTAATATCCCTAGAGAGATCATCAAGAAATCAATATGAAAAGGATCAACAGTTCATTAGCTAAATGAGCAGAGTATAAACATAATTCATAGAAAAATGGATACAAATAGTCCTTAAGCAGATGAAAAGATGTGTAACTTTACTCTAATTAAGGGATACGCAAAACTTCTAAAGATTAACCACACGGTAGTTGATAGAACAATGTAGAAAAGGCATTCTCATAAGTTGTTGGCAAAAATATGAAGAAGAACAACTTCTATAAAGAAAAATTTGGCAATATCTCTTGAAATTACAAATGTATCATGCTTTGATTCTGCAATCCCACTCTTGGGAATCTATCCTATAGATATACCTGAACATGTGCAATTTAAGTGTACAAGATTAGTTATTGCAGTGTCTTTTGTCACTGTAGCATATTTGCATACTTTAGAGTTTAGAAGCAAAATAAAATTTAGGATACAACTACATATCAAAATATAATGGAGGGGGGCGGAGCAAGATGGCGGACGAATAACACCGCCAGACAGAGGGTCTCTACAGAAAAGACCAATTCTAGCAGAAACTAGAGGAAAGAAGCAAGAAGACGAGCATACAGCGGACAAGGGCCGGAAGGAGGGGTACCTGAGACCCCGGGAGACTCCA